AGTTAATGTATAGACTTTATAACTTCCTTGTATAATAATAATGTATAACTTTATATAACTTCCTTAGTTTTGTAGAAAAAATATTCCTTTGGAAAAATACCAACCTTGTCTTCATTAAACTAAGAAAAAATAAACAAAATCAGATTAAAAAAAAACCAAATAAATGGACAAGTTTTCAGAATACAGTTTTGCAGATCCAAACAACCCTAGAAGAGAGATTGATTGGCCTACGTAGGAACCCCGGTTACTCTCTAGGTGTATGGCCATATGGTCTTACCTGAGTCAGGAATTTGAAAGGCCTGTCTTGTGACCATAATAACACATAAATGTCAGCAGGTAATGTATAAAAGACCAAATATTTGGAGAAATAAGCTGAGTGAGACATCTAGTTAGCATCATGGCTTTGCCTGTAGCTTGCCTCCTGATGTAGCACTGACTTCACAGGCCTAAATCTTTGCTCTTTCAACTTATTTCTTACTTCTCTCTTAGTTTCTTGTATTGTGGTGTGCTGAAGAAATCATGGCACCAACCCAGCTTGGCCTTATGGTTTAAGCTTGTTTGGATCCTGATTTAGACTTCATTCTTCTTCCTCAGGAAGGGACTATTCCTCCCTATGCCTTAGTATTTGCCTAACTGCTGGCACAGGTCACAGCCACATTAGGAACCCAACAATTCATTTTCCTCTCTTCAACCCTTGGAAAAAGTTGCCCCTTCTAGATCTACCCTTAGGGGCCAACCCTTATTATATTTATTGAATAGATCACATTTATACAGCACTTCTATCATAATACTTATGTGAAGTATAAGTATTACGGTTCCCATTTTATAGATGAGGAAACTGAGGCTTAGAGAGGTGAAATAAGCTGACCCAAGTCACAAAGCTAGTGAGTGGTTCAGTTGGAATGAGAATCTAGAATCTTCTGACTATAATTAAGTTCAATGCTTTTTTCTCTTTAATAAACACCCTCTCAACTCCCTCTTGTGGCCATAAGGAGCAGAATAAACTGTTAACTAGTTTTTAAAATAGTTCTTCTGTTAAACAATAGACCATTAGAATAACAGTATGCATATGGTCCATCCTCCATGTACTCCCATAAATGTACATTATGATAAAAGAGTCGTGAGTAATCAGGCTGACGAATAATGGCTTTTCTTCTCTTTCTGAAGAGTATGGGGATCAGTTTCCCACAACCTCCTAGAAAGCTGTCTTCCTTGGCTGTGAGAATGTATCGGTGGAAATCTGAGTTTGGATGAGAATTCAGAGTGAGATCTACAAAAATCTGTCCTTATTTCCCAAATCCGCTAGGCACATTTTTTCCCTTTTGAATGTCTGTGATCATTCTAACTAGAAGAATGAGAATATCATAGTCAGGGTAGAACTCAAGAGCTTTTACTACTTTGGGAATAACAGAAGTGGTACTATCCTAAAACAATGTAGGAAGCTTCTTTCTTTGATTAAAGAATCTTTTCTTTAAATCCTTTTTAAATCCTTTCAAATATAAATATAAAATTTAATATCAAATATAACAAATTAAATTTGTAATTATTTACATTTAAGTAAATGAATTTCAATATATAAAATGTCACACTTTTTAGTTATGACCTCTAAGTCTCCATCAAGATTCTTTGTCTACTCCTTTTCATTAATTTTTCCTTTTATGTGGTCATATTGAATATTTTCCCTTTCTATAATTCCATTAATTTTTCCAGATATCTTTATTTTTCTCATACTTGCTGATTTTAAAGCTCTATATAAATGTTGACTATTATTAGCTTAATCGCATTACAGTATTTCATTACAATACTGTACCACAATTTATTTGACCTTATAATATGTTATTGGCAGTATGGTTTAGTGGACAGAGATCCAGCCTTGGAGTCAGGAGACCTAGATCCCAGCTCAGCCTCTGTCACATATTGGCCGGCTGATCTGGGGCAAGCAAGTTACTGAACCTCTCAGTGGCCCCAGGAAACTCTCTAAGACTACAAGTTGCAGAACAGTAGTTGCTGATCTGCATTGGTAGAGGGAGTTTACACCCTGGAAGTTCTACTATCAACAAAATCAAAGGTCCTGCAAAACAACAGCAACAACAAATCTGGGTCGCTTCCAAGTATTTGCAATTGTAAATACCACTATAAAAATCTTTGAACAGATAGCTTTTATTGTTTCTATATGAAAGATGTACTTTAATACATTAAAATAAAATTTTCTGTGCAAGATATTTTAACAACAATTGAATCTATTATGTCTTCAGAGATGATTACTTATGTAACTTTACAGCCACATTGCTCTCCAAAAAGATTTCAACAATTTGCAGTTCTGCCATTAATGGTTGAACATAGCTGTTTCTCTACAACCCTGCCAACAATGAATTTTATTGCTTTAAATTATTTTCTCCAATTTGATGAGTGTGAGGTTATTTTTGTTTATTTATTATTTATTACTATCATTATCACATATTGTTATGTTTATTATATTGTTAATTATTATTTATTATTAAATTTATTGTTTGTATTTTCACATTTTTATAAATCAGTAAGCATTTTTACACACGATTAATCACAATTTGTATTTTCTCTTTTAAAAAGTTTCTTTGTAGCACTTGACCATTTATCCACTAGGAACTAGAAATTGCCTTTGCAAATTTTCAGTATTTCCATAAATATTTTAGATGTCAGGTTTTTAATCTGTAATAGATACCATAAGTATTTTCCCAATATGTTCCTTTGTTTTCACAATATGATTTTTGTTGTATTAAAACTTTTATTTTAGCTTATTAAAGTACATTTATATTATCCCTAACAATTCATTCTACTTATTTAATAGAAAAAGTCAGCTCCCCATTACACCCTAGATAAATATATTATTCCATGTCTTCTGTTTTCTTTATAGTTGTTTTTGTCATTATTTAAGTTTTTTGCTCAGCTAGAATTCACTGGGGTATATGGTGTGGGTCAAAATTCATTTCCTGCCAAATTGCTAACTAATTCTCCCAGTATTTTTGTCAAGTAATAAATCCTATTCCTCAGACTTTTATTATCTATAGTTTATTATATTTATTATCTAAAGTTTTTATTAAATACCAACATTCTGAATGTATTTGATTATATTTCAATTCCTTTCCTGATTCCCTTCACACTGCTGTAGTAACATATAATTTTGATAATTACTTTGAAATATGCGTTAGTCTTAGACAGCAAAACCATCTCATCAGCTTTTTTTTTTTCATGTACTCCTTGAGATTTTTACTCATTTGTTTATCCATATCAACTTCATTATAGTTTTATCCAGGTTTATGGGGAAACCAGAGAACTAATTTCTACGCTAACACCTATTGAAAACCATTTGTTCCTAAGGAATATAGAAAATTGGAATTGAAATGGACCTTGGAATCATAGAACCATAGGATGTCAGACCTAGTCTTAGATTCATAAACTGTTAGAACTGAAAAGGACCAGAGAGATTAGATTAGTAAATTGAGGCCCAGACAAGGGAACTGACTTGCTCAAAATCTCAAAGCTAATGAGAGTCAGGACAAGGACTATAATCTATGTCTACCAATTCCCATTTCAGGGTTCTTTCTCTCATATCAGGCTGTCTATGTAGAGGGACTATACAAGGTCTCTCAGCTATTTTTTTGTGATAGGCAGAATGTTAACATTAAATACAGATATCAGTTTGTGAATGACTAAACAAATTGTGGTATATAATAGAGGCTGTTATATAGTACAGTAGATAGAATACAAGGCCTGGAATTAAGAAGACTTGAATTCAAATCCAGCCCCAGACACTTCCTAGCTGTGTGACTCTGGGCAAGTCACCTAACCTCTGTTTGCTTCTGTTTCTTCAACTGTAAAATGGGGATAATAATGGCACCCACCCTCCCAAGGGCATTGTGAGGATCAAATAAGATAATTTTTTTTGTTTTTTTTAGGCAACTGGGGTTAAGTGACTTGTCCAGGGTCACACAGCTAGTAAGTGTTGAGTGTATGGTCTGAGGCTGGATTTGAACTCAGGTCTTCTTGACTCCAGGGCCAATGCTCTATCCACTGCACTACCTAGCTGCCCCAAATAAGATAATATTTTTTTTTTTTGCTTAGGCAGTTGGGGTTAAGTAACTTGCCCAGGGTCACACAGCTAGTAAGTGTCAAGTGTTTGGTCTGAGGCTGGATTTGAACTCAGGTCCTCCTGACTTCAGGGCTGGTGCTCTATCCACTGCGCCACCTAGCTGCCCCTCAAATAAGATAATATTTGTAAAGCAATTAGCACAGTGCCTGGCTCATAGTAGGCATTATAAAAATATTAGTTGTTATTATTATTATTATCATTGTATTGTTGTTGCTACATGAATGTAACGGAATAATACTGTGCCATGGGGAGCAATGAATGTGAAGAGTACAGACAAGCAAGGAAAGACTTACATTAACTGATTCAAAGTGAAATAAGTGAAACCAAGAAGCAATATACTGTACACAATGACCACAATAATATAAATGGGAAAAAACAAAAAAGCACAAAACTGAACACTATGTAATTGTAATAATTAAGCTTGTACTCAAAGAAGAGATGAGAAAATACATATCCCTCCCCTTTTTGCAAAGGTGAGCGACTAAGGGCATAAAACATTGCATACACTATCAGAACTGGTTGATTGTTATTCTTACTGACCTGCTTTTTTTCCTCCCTACCTTTCCTATATTTTATCACATGGGATGGCTTTCTCAGAGGGTCAAGGGATAGTTATATTTGGAAAGGAATATAAAAACAAAACATATCAATAAAAACATTTAAACCCTTAATTAGAGCTCTTGTTGAAATCCCACTTGGACAAAACTCCTACCAACATACCCTTATAGATTGTTTTTATAATGCAGCTCAAAAAAGGCTTTTTTAAAAAATCTTCAAGAAAGTCAAGGAAAAAAAACATTTCAGAGCAGATACTCCACATGTAACCATTACAGGCAGTACTATTGAAGTGAGTAGCAGGAAAGTACCATACCTTTCTGAATCCCGTTGGCTTCCCAAGAGGACTGTGAGCCTGTTGGTTTGTTAAGGGCGGGAGGAAGGGAGGTGTAAAGGGAGGTGGGGAAAGAAGAAAAAAGAAAAGTAAGTAAATTCAAAATCCCAACAGAGCCTACAATGGAATATTCATTTTGCTGGGAGAATGTTTCCTTAAAAATTCTGGTCATCTGGATAGCCTGAGCTAGCAGGTAATTTGATTTAATGAGCTTTTTAACACACATCAGGAGCACAACCCCGTGGGTCTTGTTTTCTAATAACGTAAATCCAAGGCACAGTTGCCTCATGCATAGCTTTGATTCTACTGACACCTCGTGGCCAAACTCACTACGCTCTTGGTAAAAAGGAAGGTCAGACAAAGAATGAACTAAGATGAAGTCAGAATGTAAACCATTGAACTTTAAGGTTCTTCAATATCTTCTAGTCCAATCTCTAACTTTACAGATTAAGAAACTGATTTAATTTAGCTCATACATTTAGTTAGTGGAGAACTAGGCCTAGAACTCAGGTTTCCTTATTCTCAATCTAACTTCTTTTGCACTGAATTAATCAATTCAACAAATATTTGCTGAGCAGGGCCCTGTAAGGGAAACATAGAGGGGGTGCTTGTTTTCAAAAAGTTTATAATTGTGGAGAGAAAATATATGTATGTGAGAAAAGAAGTCACAACACAAGAAAATACATACTAAATATCAAACGAGATGTATAGGGAGCTATACGGTTCAGCAGATAAGAGTGCTGGGCCTGGACTCAGGAAGACCTGAGTTCAAATCTGGCCTCAAACATTTAATAGCTGTGTGACCCTGGGCAAGTCACTTAACTTCTGTTTGCCTTATTCCATGGGGGAAGGAAATGGCAAACCACTCCAATATCTTTGCCAAGAAAACTCCATGGACAGCATTGGTGTACTATGGCCCACAGGGTCACAAAGAGTCAGACACGACTGAAGGACTGAATATCAAATGAGATGTACATTTGGATATACTTGGAATTTGGTAAAGACAAAAGTTACTTTGAGCAGGGATAACCAGGGAAGGCTTAATTCAAAGTGTGGTTTTCTCAGCTTACCTGACTGAGGAACAGTGTAGAGTATGTGACTTTTTCTATCTACCTACGAGTGCTTACTCTTGGATGCCACAATGCTCTTATTCCTTGACACCCACCTCTAGTAAATGGCTGGAGTCCTTGAGTTTAGATTTATAGAGCATCCAGCGGTAGCGGAGATCCTCCAAGTTTTCAGAAGTTCCTTTCTTTGGTCGGAGATGAAGAAGATTTTCAAAAAGATGCTGACCTTCTGGGAGCCTATCTTGCAGCTCCTACGAAGAGGTAAAGATAAGGTCACCCACAAATAGGATACAATGAGTACAATGACAACTCAGCCTACAGTCCTAAAACTCACTTAATGAAACTAGTTAACTTAGTCCTATTCCTAGTTAATTAGGGATATGAAATCTTAATTTATCAATTAAAAGCACTTATTCACACACTATGAGTCTTATATGATCAACAATGATCTTTGAATTCATTGAAATAAAAATATATTATTATTACTACTATCATTACTATCAGGGACAGCTAGGTAGTCAATGGATAGAGTTGCTGGGCTGGAATCAAGAAGACTCATCTTTCTGGGTTCAAATTTGACCTTAGACACTTATTAGCTGTGTGACCCTGGGCAAGTCACTAAACTCTATAAAGATTGTAAAGCTGTAAAAACTCTGAGTATGACCTCAAAGACAAGGATATGTGTCTGTTTCATTAAAACAGAGTTGAAGGAACCTTTGATTAGAGGTCATCTGGTCCAACTCTGGGTTATATTACAGATAGAGAAAGTTTGACCCAAAGAAACTAAGTGGAGGTGGAACCAAGATGGTGGAGTAAAGGCAGGAACTCACCTGAGCTCTCTCCCAAACTCCTCCAAATACCTTTGAAAAATGACTCTAAACAAATTCTAGAGCAGCAAAACCCACAAAAAGATGGAGTGAAACAAATTTCCAGCCCAAGAAATTAAGTGACTTGTTTAAGGTCAGAGAGGGAACTATATTTTGTGATTAAAAATTAGGCTAAGGAATTAAAAGTCTGAGTCTCAATTCCAGAATTTTACATTATGATGGGTTACATCTTGATATTTTCTTTTCTTTATAGAAAAGACTGATAGAGGCAGAATGGTGCAGGGAAAAGGGAACAGGACTTACTTAGAGTCTAAGGACATGGGCTGATAATCCCAGCTCTAATCACTAACTACTGTGTGCTTTCTTTGAAACTCAGTTTCCTCATCTACATCATAGAGATGAAGGAAGATCTTAATGAAGATGAAGCAGCATTTTAATAAGGATTAAAAAAGGGAGAGATTATGGGGCAGCTAGGTAGTGCAGTGGATAGAGCTCTGGCCTTGGAGTCAGGAGGACTTGAGTTCAAAGCCAGCCTCAGCTAGCTGTGTGACCCTGGGCAAGTCATTTAACCCCAATTGCCTCACCAACAACAAAAAAAGGGAGAGATGAGGAGGAAATGCACGATAGACATGAAGCACAATTTGTATCACTGCATGGAAGCAATTTATTAATCAATTAGGAATTTATTAAACACCTACTGTGTGTCAGGGATTGTGCTAGGATAGAAATACAAGGAATGAAATAATCCCTACTCTCTAGGAACTTGCATTGTAATTGGAGAGAAAACAAGACAATATACAAATAGATACATATATGCATATACACAAACAAATATTAAGAAAATAGAAAGAATACAGTAGTTTGCAAAGGAGGCAGGAGTATGAGTAAATATTTAACAACCAGCTCCATCAAAAATATATATAGCACATTAATCTGTATTATTAAGTCTAGACTATCAAAAAACAATAAACCAAGCCCTGATTTATAATCTGCTAATTTCTGAATTGTAAGTGTTCACATCAAAAATTTAGATAGTCAGTTCTCTAGAGCTGGTATGAGTTGGTTCCAGGACACCCCTGGAAGGAGTTAGTATTAGAATGGATGTCAGATATGGGAAATGGCCAGTGCAAAGGCACAGAGACATGAGCTGGAGTACCATGTAAGGAACAGAGAGAAAGCCAGTTTGGCTGGATCGCAAAGTATGTGGTTGGGAGGGGAGAGAAGTAATAAACAATGAAACTGGAAAGATAGGTTAGGACCAGATTATGAAGGGCTTTAAAAGGTAGATCAGCTCATAATTTGTCCCAATAGGGAGCCATTGAATTTTTATTAAGAAGAATGTTATGGTGGGGCCTGGACTTATGGAAAATTACTTTGGCAGCTGTGTGGAGGATGGACAGGCTGGAGTGTGGAGAGACTTGAGGCAAGGAGAACATTTAGCAGGCAACAGTCTAGACCACAGCAATGAAGAACCTGAAGTGAAGTGTTTAGCTGTGAGACGAGAGAGAAGGGTTTGATGGGGGAGATGATGCAGAGGTAGAAACAGTAACTTTGGGCCACTAACTTAACTTGTGGGGTGAGGAAAAAAAAAATATATATATGTAGGGTTTTCAAAGGAAGGCACAGATATCTGGCACCCAGGTGCTAGCTGGTCTGCAGACCTGCCCCAGGCTACCCCGAAAGGGCTCACGGAGCTGGGCTCCTATGGAGACCCCACAGCCACTGCAGCTTTCTACTTCTCGTTAGATCAGGAAAGAAAAAAGGGAAGAGGACCACATTCACATGTTATTGTTATTTCAGGGATAAAATGTTTAACAAAAATAAGTGCTAATCTGGTCTTCCCTCATGCCCCAGGAATAGTCCGAGAAAGGGCTCCCCAGGTGACTGGCCCAGTCCCGGTTCTTCTTAGGCTCCTTGGCCCCTGGAAGGAGTGCACGGCACAGTCTGGTGAGTCTCGTTCTAACACCTCAGGAGTTCATGCATTTCTAGGCTACTGAGGAGGGGGCGTGTGTGCTGACCGAGTCCAGATTCCCTAGCCCCCCAATGTCAGTCACCCTTCCTCCTTTTCCCCAATTCTCTTGCCACACCAAGGCAGAGATCATGGGGCAGTAGGGCAGTATAAGAAGACTGGAAAGGTAAATAACGGGATTAGGTTATTAAGGAGAAGCTAGGCGGCAAAGTGAATAGAGCACAGATCTTGGAGTCAGGAAGACCTGAGTTCAAATCCAGCATTAGAAACTTCCTAGCTTTGTAACCTTGGACAAGTCACTTAACCTCTGCCACTGGAGAAAGCAATGGTAAACCAGCCCAGTATCTTTGCCAAGAAAACCCCATGGATGGAGGTACACAGGGTCATGAAGAGACAGACACAACTGAAATGATTGAACAACAACAGGTTATTAAGTTTTGAACACTAAACAGGATTTTATATTTGATTCTAGAGGTTATAGGGAGCTACTGAAAGTACTGGGGGAGGGAGATTGTGTGACATGGTCAGACTTGTGCTTTAAGAAAATCACTTGGGGGGCAGCTAGATGGTGCAGTGGATAGAGCACTGGCCCTGAAGTCAGGAGGACTTGAGTTCAAATCCAGCTTCAGACCAAACACTTGACACTTACTAGCTGTGTGACTCTGGGCAAGTCACTTAACCCCAATTGTCCCAAAAATAAATGAATGAATGAATGAATGAATGAATGAATGAATGAATGAATGAATGAATAAGGAAAATCACTTGGGTAGCTCAGTGGAGGATGGATTGGAGTGGAATGATAGGCAAACCAATTCACAGGGTATTGCAACAGTCTAGGTGTGAGGAGATGAGGTTCTATGTCAGGGTGGTGGAAGTACCAGAAGACAGATTTGGATATGTGGAGTTTAAGATGTCTATGGGACATCAAGGTTGAGATGTCTAATAAGCAGTTGTAGATTCAAAACAAGGTCAGCAGAGACAGGGTGGATAAGGAGATTTGAGAATCATCAGCATAGAGATGATAACTGAATTCGTGGGATCTGATGAGATCACCAAGTGAAATAGCACAGAAAGAGAAGAGAAAACACCCCAGGACAGGGCCCTAGAGGATACCCACTTTTAGTTTTTCGATGAAGATCTACAAAATAAGACTGATAAAAAGCAGTCAGATCATCAGGAGTAGAGGTCTGAAAACCTAGAGAGAAGAGAATATCAAGGAGAGGAGGCCAATAGTGTCAAAGGCTACAGAGAGGTCAAAAAGGTTGGGGATTGAGAAAAGGCAATTAAGAGATCATTGGTAACTTTGGAGAACAGTTTCAGTTGAATGATGAGGTCAGAAGCAGACTAAGAATTAGGAAGGAAATAAGAAGAAGTAGAGGCATCTATTATAGATGCCTTTCTGAACTACTTTGTAGGAAAATGGTGAAGATTAGAGGGAAGGGAATGACTGAAGGGGCATATACTGGAGAAGACAGGAGGTGTTTAGGAACAAGGCACATGTAGGGAGGATGGCTTTGGGAAGGAGAATTACTGGGGAAAGGAAGAGAGAGTGTGGGGTGATGTTAAGAAGGTTTGAGATGAATAGAAAGAAGAAAAAAAATGTACAGCAAATGGCCTCACATTTCTCTTCCAAGACTTGTGTCTTGGGTGGGAAGAAGAATAAAGGAATAAGCATTGATTAAGCACCTATTATGTACCAGGCACTGTGCTACGTGCTTTATAAATATTGTCACATTTAGATCTCACAACAACCTTGGGAGATAAGTGTTATTATTTTCCCTACTTTACAGTTGACAAAACTGAGGCAAACAGAGGGTTCAATCACTTATCCAGGGTCATATAGCTAATACATGTCTGAGGCTGAATTTGAACTCAGGTCTTCTTAACTCCAGGCCCAGTGCTCCACTTGGGAGCATCACCGCTATACCACCTTACTGCCCGGGGTAGGTTGAGGGAGGTCCAGATTGAAGGGGAAATTGTTCACTATGGAATTCCAGAGGGCACAATGGAAGGGGTGAGTGGATTGGAGTGGGACATAAGAGGGGTTGATTTAAGGAGAATTAGGATCAGATATTGAAAAATGGAGGTTGGCAATTGTTTGCTCCCAGGTGGCTGGGATGGAGTAATACAGGCATAGAAAAGTAACAGGCAGTGGGAGATTGTTAGGCATTATGGTAGTACTGGGTGGTGATCAATAATAATGCTCACCATTTAATGGCAACAACTAGGGGCATAGAACCTTATCCATGCTGCTGCTCCTCTGGGTTGGCTGCTTGACTGTAGGGTGGCAGTACTGTAGCCAAGTCCCCCATGTCTGGCAAAAGGTGCTGGACAGGGCCTAGGCCTAGGACTCCTCCCACCAACCCCCTGCCCTCCCTTACTGCCCTGGACTTTTTGCTTAATATGTATTGCCAGGAAACGTGTATTGCCAGGGGTGTAGGGTATGTTCAGGGAAGACTAGTTCCTCTAGTATGATGGCTGCTGAGCCCTTTTCAGGACTGCTTTCCACCTTTGGTGTCCACCTGTTCCATCTAACTCTTACCTGTGGCACGCACAGCTGCCACACCCTGGCAAACCATTTTGGCAGACGGGCTAAACCAGGGTGAGGGTCACCAAGGGTCTCAAATCTGTTGGTGAGTTAGGGGGGTGTCTACCCCAAGCATGTGAAGACTTCCCCTGGTGGATTGGGTGGATGAGAACAATTTGTTCCAATGGCCATGAAGGCAGCTGAAGCAGGTTCTGTGGAGCACTTAGAACTTGGTTAGACATCGAAGACACCAAGGTCATCCATGGCATCTTGAGCCATCACTAGTTGTCTTAATTCTGTCCTGCCGCTGGACTGTGATGACTCTGGAGGAAACAGTGAGGCCGACGACTTCATGCAACTTTACCTCACTTAAATCCAATTTATGCATGAATCAAAAGACATCACCCATACCATTTTACCTATCTCAAAGATCTGTGGTGACAGACAAGTGACAAAGCAGCAGGTGCAGACACACTGGGAGTTGTAGTCACAATCCTGCACACAGGCGGCCCACGTCAAAGAGTTGTTTTCTCACTAGAAGCATCAGTGGGATTCAGCAGCCCCCTGGGTATCTGAGCAGCCTTTTAAGGATTGCACTGCTCACAAAGGTTTACTTAGAAACAGTCCCAGAACAAGCCGTTCTCCTTCTATTGTTCCATTTTTAAACAATAATTTTTAACAATAATTCCATTATTCCTTTAATGTTCTACAGATTATGTCATGGGTGAAGAGTAGTTATAGTCAAATGCAAGTTTTAGGACGAAAGTTAGATAAAATTTATCTGATTATTATTGTTGTTGTTAACCCTGGATCTCAAAGGTTGGATGCTGGAAAAGACTTGTCCAAGATACTTCCATAAAAGGTCTAGAATATGAGTGAGCAAACAAAAATAAGAGCTCATACCATTTTTTTTTTCCAAATTGGACTATACTTCTTAAAGTGCTAATAGTAAAGGAGAGGCAGCATGATATAATGCAAACAATACTGATTCTAAGAGTCAAAGTACCAGGGTTCTGGTTTTGGCATTGCCCTCTTATTAGCTTTGTGTCTCTGAAAGTCACTTGGCCTCTCTAGGACAGTTTCCCCATATACTAAGTGAGAGAGTTGTACTACATGATCCCTAAGACCTTTTCCTACTTGATCATTCTATGACGCTAAGGTTTGATCCAATCTATTGTTCTATGATTTTAAGGGTCCACTGAGCTCCAATAGTTTATTTCCCTATCCAAAAGATAAAAATTACAATACCTGTTATACCCTTTATGTAGCCCAGAGTTGTTTTGTTGATTAACTGAGATGATTATAAAATGCTATGTAAACTATAAAGAAATATATATTTTTTAACAAATTATTTAAAATGATGATAAACATAATCACCAATAATTATTAATACTACCAAAATAACTCTAGAGGGAAAAGGGTTTACTTAGAAATATACCTTCAGTTTGTCTTTTCTTATTTTGGAGTCCTTAGCATTGGAATTTTTCATGGCAATGATCTTGATCAACTTGGTATTTTCCACCTTCAACCACTGTTCAAAGTCTTTCAGGAGTTTGGAGAAATCGTCATTACTTTCTTCTTCTTCTTCTTCGGACAGACTTCCCTACATAAGGAGAAAGCACTGGATATGAAAATCAATCACTGCCAGCTGGTCATCCGTGTTCCATTTTAGAAAGGACAAGAATGGGGAAAGGAAGACTCAGAATGAGAAGTCATTCAGCTCATACACATAGAAGAAAGAGTGTTGAATTTCTTATTAGCTCAGATTTCACTTTTTTTTCTCCAATAGTTATTTGGAATTTCTTAGAAACAGAACAGAGAGAAAAGTGATCACTTCTATTTGTGATTTTGACTTTTAAATAAAGTCATGGATCTAGGGATGGGAAAAGACTTTTTAAATTAAAATTATTCCTGTTTCAATCAAATATTCTAATCTCTAAAAATAGTCCAGGTTACAGGAGTAGTAGCTTCAAGATGAAATTAGACCCAATTGGAATGGGAAGCTTTCAAGGATAGAATTCTAAAAACAAATAGATATAATAAAGAGAAAAAGGGAAATGTGTATAAAGAGATTGATATGAATATTCAGGAAAATCAACAATCAATTTAGGATTTTAAAAAGACATGCAGAAGATGGAATCAAGGGCCGGCAATGAGAAAATAAATACAAAATCATGCCATATTTCTATAAGAATAATGTGGTAGTCATTCAGTCATGTCTGACCATGGACCATAGCATACTAATATCAATGGGGTTTTCTTGGCAAAGATGCTGGAGTTGTTTGCCATTTCCTTCTCAAGTATAAGAATAATGTAGGGAACACTGATACTCAGAATGAGCTGAGGTGGTGAGGAATGCTAAAGACAATCAAGAATTTTTTTTAGCTATTTAGGGGAAAAGAGAAGGATCAAAGAAGGAATAGGACCACTGGTTGGGGTGAATGAGACTATGATAAAAGATGGAGGAGAGAAGACAGTCTATTTAACTCTTATTTTGATTCTTTCTTATCTACCTGGTAAAAAGGGACAATTTGGTTAATAGGGAGTTTAAACCCAAGATTAATAATTACCAGGTCCTGTTATGAACCATATCACAGAGTCCTCAATGAACTCTGAGATATGATTACTGAACCTCTTTCAGGGAATCTGTGAAAGATCATGGAGAATTAGAGAGCTACCACAAGGCTGAGGTTAGGAGAAAAAGAGTAGAGTCTGCAAAGTATAAGCCAATAAGCTAGTTTTTAATCTCTGACAAAATTTTAGGGCAAAATAATAGCTAATGAACACTTATAAATGTCATGATCACAGAGAACCTTCCTGATCTCATCAAGAACAGGACATACCAGATTAACTTCAGTTCATTTTTTGACAGATTTATAAGACTGCAAATCAGGGGCAGACTACAGTTATAACTTATCTATATTTTAGCAAAGAATCCAACAAAGTCTCTAATGTGATACTTGTGGACACGGTAGTAAGTTATGGATTATATTACTGTCCAATTAATTAGATTCAGAACTGTTTGGAAAACTAGACCCAAAGATAACTTTAACTCAATTTGAGGAGAGGTCATTACTGGAGTGTCCCAGGATTAGTGTCTTACACTATTTGATGCTTTTATTAATGAGGTTAATAAAGGCATATATGGTATGCACCCCCAATTTGCAGATGAAACAAACTGAAGTGTGAAAAGAAAGCACATTGGATGGTAGATTAAGAAACCAAAATCATATCTCAAGAAACTTTGATGATGGACCAAGCCTAATAATGTGTTATTTGATACAGATAAATGTAAAATCCTACAACTAGGTTTAATACCCCTGCCCCCAGCTTTGTAATTCCATCTTATTCTGCATTAGAAGAGTCAGAGTTTCCAGAAGGGAGGGAAGTTCCACTGTATGCTGTCCTGATCAGACCACATTAAGAGTATTGGATTCAGTTCTGGACACTCTATGTTAGGAAAAACATTGATAACTTGGAGCGCATCCACAGGAGGGCAACAAAGATGGTGAAATTTTAAGATTATGCCATTTGAAGATTGGTTGAAACAAGTAGGGATGTTCAATTCAGCAAAGATTTATTAAGTACCTCCTATATTTGAGGCACCATATTAAGTGCTGGAAAAGGGAAAACAAAAGAATCCCTCACTGCAAGAAGCTTAATTTTACTAGGATGATACAACAGGTGCATGTAAAAAATAAAAAGTATTTGCTAAGTAATTTCAAGGGAGAGAATTCTCTGTCTCTCAAGAGGAAGTGGAATAATGAAATGTCTCATTCACATAAGAGATGTTAAGTAAAGCTATACTGTAAAGAAAGCTATGGATTCTGCAAGGCAGAGGTAGGTAGAGAGTATGTTCTCTCAGATGTCCAGAGATAAGAGACAGAATGCCATGTACCAGAAATAGCTAGCAGGCTAGTTTTACTGGAGCAAAGAATCCATGAAGGGGAGTAATAGGAAATAAGATTGAAAAAGTAAATGGAAACCAGGTTATGGAAATCTTTAAATGTCAATCAAAGGAATTTCTATTTTTATCCTAGAAATAAGAGTGAAATATTAGAGATATTTGGAGGAAGGGTGATGACACGGTCAGATCTGCATTTTAGGAGTATCATTCTGGAAATTGTGTAGAGCATGGATTGGAGAAGGGAGAGACCGGAGGTAAGGAGACCAATTTGGAGATTACTGAGTCAAAGTGAAAGGTGCTGAGGGCCTGAAATAGAGCAGATGCTATCTAAGTAGGTGGAGGCGGGGTTTGGGAGGGAGAAGATATAGGAAGAGCTGTGAAGGCAAAACCATCAAAACTTATCAACTAATTATAAATGGAGATCTAGGGGAAAAAAGGCAAGGATAGCACTGAAGATCAAAATTGATCCTGTATCATTTATTTATTAATCCTATTTACCATTGATTGATGGTGTCCTTTAACTGTTTAATTCATGGTTCCCTGTCTCTGAACTTGGTTTAGTATTCAGCTAGTCTATAATGGATTAAATGTAAAAATCCAGATTTCCTACAAATCATTGATCTATTCTTGCCTCAAGGAATTCAGCTGACTTCAGGGGATGCATGTGAATACAAAGGAATTGGGTCTAATATCTTTATATCACCAAATTATCTCTCAAGGATGTCTGGTTTGCTATCTTTTATCTGCACTCAAACAATGAGCACTTCTTAGTCTCAGGAGAGAAGGAGGGGGTCATTGCTAGCCCCTATTACCAAACTTCCAACCAATCATATTGTTCCCTGTGCCTCAGTTCTGTAACCAATCATTTCGCCCTCAATACTATGATGTCATCTAGTTCTGTTCTTTGTTCTATACTCCCCAAAACATAAAAAATGGGAGCTGTCAGCTTGGGGTCTTTGGCATAAATGGAGGCAAGCCACTGACTCCTTCATTGACAGGCAGCATGCCTCTGTTAATAAATGTTATCTTTCTCAGAGAATTGTCTCAGTTTACTCTTTTGTTAAATTTCACCTATGATAGCACCAAGTTGTCAGGATAGTGGTGAAGGAGGGATGGATTTTAGGAAAAATATTAGTCTTGTTTTGAGTTTGAATATGACAAGTCTGACTTCAGATTTTCAAGAGTAGATATACAGCAGGTAGTAATATGTGACTGGTGTTCAGGAGAGATATTAGGATGAGACAGATGGATTTAGAAATCATTAGCACAGAAATGAATTGAATTGATGAGAGGTGATAAGATCATTTGATGAGTTTTATATCACAAGGTTATGGTTAAGATCAAATGAAATAATGGATGTTAAAGGGCTATGAAAATTAAGGTGTTAAATATCTAGGCTATTGAGTGTAAGTTATTAACATTCTTTTGCCCCCTTTTACCACCCTATCTCCCTCATCAGCTTCCTTGCTTCCATTGTGAAAGAAAGTAGTCCCCCTTGGCATGCCTTAGCAAGGCATATTGAATTGATCCAAGATCAGTTTTGATTTGATGTATGGCCTGCCTGAAGTATATGAATCAACTCTGTATTTTCATTTTTCAAAAAGCCCAAACCCAGGGCCCCTGCATAGTCAAAATGCTACCACTTCATTCTGGAAGTCAAGAGCCCAATCACTTGTGAACAATGAGAATCCAATCATATGCCGTGTTTCCCATATGTAAGGGGCTACTACCCCTACTGCTGGGCTGGGAAGTCAGAAGATCTGAATTCAAGTTCCAGATCTGTCACATTTCCTCTCTGGTTCTTATTTTCCTTATCTCTAAAGTGGGAGTGATAACATCTGCCCTCCATGGAATGTCATAAGGATCAGTGTAAAGCAAATTATCTTACATTTATAGAGACTTTTTCAATTTCTCCCATAGCTTTCACTTATGTTACCATGATTGCCGTGGTTGTGATATTCTCCCATTCCCATGGTTCTGGGGATCAGAGACAGGAAGTTACTAGATCTCACCCAAATGAAATGAGTACCAATAGATTTATGGATAGTTAAGATGCTGTGGATTGAGTCCCATTTGGCAGTAGATGCTAGAACCATCATTATTATTTAGGAGTTTCACACTAAATATCAATACTACTGTGGACAGGAGAGCCATAATTTCATTTGATAGAAGGGAAGCATTAGGGATGAAAAGCGAAGTCAAAATAAGAGACCACAATACTTCATCAATGTCCCATAAAAAAGAATAACTGGTCTGCAAATTAGGAAACTAGAGTTCTAGTCCCAGCCCTGCCTCTTATAACTTTGCAATCTTGGGCCAGGCACTTAACTTGGAGAGTATGTCTCTTCGCCAGTATAATATGGATAATAAACCCCTTCTAAGTTCTGGGTGTGAAAATGCTTTCAAAATTCTTTCAAATGTACTATCCTTACATAACCCTCATGATAAGCCTTGTTGGTAGAACAAGAATTATTTTTTATCATTGTTATCCTCTTCATTATTTCCTTACTAAGCTGAAGACAACCAAATTTTGAGGGAAGAAGCTCCACTAGAATTCTGAGTTTTCCTTTTCTCCATAAAGCTCTGTTTGTAGTAGGGAAAAGAGAAGCTCTATGTATGGTGGAGAGAGACAAAAAAGGATGAACATCATTGTCATGGGCAATAGGGAGCCACTGGAGTTGTTTTGAGTAGGAGAGTGACATAGATAGACCTTCACTCAAGGAAAATCACTTAGTAGCAGTGTGAGTGATGGATTGAAGTGGGGACACGCTTGAGACAGAGAGACCAAATAGTCCAGGCAAGAGGTTATGAGGGCCTGAACTAATACGGTGACAGTGAAAAATGAATGGATACAAGAGGAGGTAGAAACAAATTTTGGCAAATGATTAGATATGTGGGGTGAAAGAAAATGAAGAGTTAGGTTTAATGCCAAGGCTGCAAACCTGGGAGAAGAAGAACAGTGAAGCCTTTGTCAAAAGCAAAGGAAATTCAAAATAGGTAGGTTTTGGAGGAAAGATAATGAGCACAGTTTTGGACATGCTGTCTATGGGACACCTAATTTGAAAAGTCTAATAGAAAGTTGGTGATAATAGGACTAAAGCTCATAGGAGGAAATAGGGATACATACATAAATCTGGAAATCACCTGCATAGTAATAATTAAGCCTATGGAAGTGGAGGAGATCACCAAGAAAAAGAATGTAAAGAGAAGATGACCCAGGACAGAGCCTTGGAGTATATCCACAATTACATGGTGTGATGTGGATGAAGAGCCAGGAAAGGAGGCTGAGAAGAAGTGGTCAGGAGAACCAGGGGAGAGTTCTGTAATAAAAACTCAGAGAAAAGAAAGTACCCAGGAAGTGATGAACAGTGTCAAATGTGGGTCAAATACCACAGAAAAGACAAGGATGAGGACTGAGAAAAAGAATGTCTAATTTGAAAATTAAAGAGCTCATTGGTAATTTTGAAGAGAGCAGTTTCATTTGAATGACGAAGCCAGAAGGCAGAAGGCAAAAGCCTGAGAAGTAATAGAAAAGTGGAGGCAACACATGAAATGGCTTTTTCCTAAAGAATTTTTTTTGGGGGGGGGCATAAACTGCTTGTGGAAGGTGGCACTTGAACTGAGTTTTTAATGCAACTGAGAATTTTAAGAGGCCAAGGGGAGGGAGGGAGAACATACCAGTCATGGAAAACAGTTTATGCAAATGTCAGGACACATGAGATAGTGATAGTTGGGTTGTAAAAGGGAGGGAAGATTCAGGATGATAGACTGAGGGAAGAGGAGGGTCCACTGAAGGTTTTTGTGATAGAGGAGGCTTGAGCTTGTTGATAGGAAATAGAGAAGAAACCAGTAACTAGGGAGAGATTGAAGATTAGAAAGAAGGGGTGATTATTGGAGCATTTTACTAGAGAAAACAGAAGACTATGGGATTAAAGGTACATATAGAAGGGTTGTCCTTGGCAAGTAGAAAAGTCTTCTCTTTATCAGAGACTGCAGTAAAAGAATGGTGTCAAGGAGTTTTGAGATGTAGAAAATGGGAGAAGAGGGAGCTCATGTAAATGGCCTTTATTTTCTCAGTATTTGGAAGGGTCTTCAGCAAAGAGAACCCCGAGTTTCCTCATGGAACTCTAGTGTGTTTTTCTAGGTGAAAAATGGGAATGGGAGTTGGGGAGTGAGTGGAGGTGATATTCCATGGTACTTGGCTCAGAAGTCTAATTACTTGCTTAGTGATCGTTCTCCTCCTTGGAGAATACTAACCAAAATCTTTACTCACCTTACCCCGGTGCCTAGGAACAGAGTCCACAGAATCTAGGAGAAACCCATGCTTTGGGACATTGTTGGAAAAAACCAATTTCTTCCCTGGATCCAGCTCCTTGTTTTTTAGCTGCCACTTCCTGATGAGGCTGAAAGACATAAAGTAACCCAGTAAATATTATGATATTGATGTGTATATGATGACTCACACTTTCAGAGGGACTGAAGACATATTCCTCTGTTAGGGCTCATGCAACAACAAAAAGACAGACAAGGAACATATTTCACAAAAATCTTTGGAAAGCCAAGACACAGTACTGGGTAGCAAGCTCTCCCCAGCCATTTCATATCTTTGATAGTTCCTATAAACATCCTTGAAGCCAGTGGTATAATCCCATGACCCTCAAGGCATGCAACAAATGTTGACTGATGATAATGATGAAGAGGTAAACAGGAGGAGAGTGCAACACATTTATATTGAGAGGTCATGGGAAAAAAAACAACAACACATTTCTGTCCCTCTATGCTCCTACATCCTTTTTTGTCCCTATATTTGGAATATTGCAAAATATTCCTTTTAAGGGACACTCTTCCCCCATATTGAAAGCAGTAAGTAAAACATTTTGAAAGCCAATGGTTGTCTTACCAAACCATCGATTTTGATCACCATGACTTAGTCATATGGGAAATACTGATGCTCAGTCTCCACTTCTGGCTGTGGAAAAAACAACCAGATACCCTTCAGAGCAGCTGTGGTGTAGGGGAAAGAAGACTGGATTTGGAGTCAGAAGACCAGGGTTCAAATCCATGCTCTGGCACTTACTAAATATAAAACTTTAGAAGAGACATTTAAGCTCTCTGTCCCTCAGCTTCATCATCTGCAAATGGGAATAATAATAATACCGGAATCCCTACCATCTCTGTCTTTTCACACCTACTTCCACAAACTGCAATACAGTGAGACTGGCCTCTTTGCTGGGCCTCACACACAATGCTCCACTTCCCAACTCTGCATTTTCACTGGCTGTCCCTCATGCCTGGAATTCTCTTCCCTCTCACTTCTATTTTCTGGCTTCTCTGTCTTCTTTCAAATCTGAGCTAAAATTACACCTGTTGTAAGAAGCCTTTCTTGATCCTCCTTAATTCTAGTGTCTTCCCTCTGTGATCACCTCCAAATTTATCCTGTGTATATTTTGTGTGTGTATACATACACATATATGTATAATATACATGTATGTGTGTGTATGTGTATATATATATGTATATATATAATTATATATATAGTTGTTGGCATGTTGTCTTCCCCATTAGACTATGAGCTTTTTGAGAACAGGGACTCTTTTATCTTTCTTTGTATCCGCAGTACTTAGCTCAGTGCCTGGCACATAGTAGGCACTTACTAAATTCTCGTTGACTATACTCCTCTCCGACAATTTAGTAGCATCACTAAACCTTGGAGGTGACCGTGGATTCTCAATAGTTCTTCATTTAGAACATAAGCTTTGGCAGGTCCTAGCAAGTTGGAAAACCATTGAGGTGGGGGCTAGTGATATACAGTATCTGTTTCCTGGACCTGATGACCTAAGGTAGGAGAAGCCCTTAGGTCATAAATTTCTTCAGCAACAGTAACTCATGAAAGAGGAGCTGAGATTTTTGATGGTGGAGGGACCATCCTCAGGTATCAATCATCATTAATATCTACAGTCAGGAAAAAAAATGAAAACAAAGACTTCTATCTCTAGTCCCCATAAGTGAGAGAATGGGAGGCTTCTTCTCTGATGGCTTATGACAGCCTAACCTCCACATCTTCACAATGTGAGACCTGGAAGGGACTTCATTCACCTGGCCCAACCCTCTCACTTTACAATGGGGGAAACTGAGAGCTACGAAAGGAAAGTGACTTGCCAAAGTTACCACAGCAAGGCAGTAACAAAATGAGAATTAGCATTTGGTTTCCTGAAGTCCAGCACAGCATTGTAACCTTTGATGGGACCAGAAGAGCGGCAATTTGCTGATAGAACTTAACTAATAGCAATACAGGGCCAATGCACAGTTAGGTGTTAACTATACGTTTCAGAGGATGGGATAAAGATGTATTTTTCATTAAACAAACTTAATGTCTGAAAATCCATATTTTCCAATGTCCAAAATATATATTTGGCAATGATAGTTCATTATACCAAAAGAATTCTTTGCTTCAGCAAAGGATTCACAATACAATTTCTTTGAATAGCAAGCTCTCTTACTGTGTTAAAAGTACAATTTGATTTGTAAAAATTAGGTTGACAAATAACATTTTAAGAACAGGAATAGTTCTTATAAAGTAAGACAAATGACTAATAGTCATATAGTTTCATGAGAAAGCTGAAAAGGACCTTAGAGATCATCTATTCCAATCATTATTTTACAAGAGAGGAAACTGAGGTCAAAAAACATGAAACTATTTGCCTAAGTTCACAAAAGTTTTAAATGGCGGAGTTGGGATTCAGACATAGATCAAGGTCCTATCCACTAAATCAGTGGAAACTAAAATCATAGACATTGTGAATACTACCTAAAAGACAATATGAGATAACCACTTTGACACCAGGTCATCAGCCAAAAAGAAAGTATTCTCAATAAAAAGTTTGTGGCACCTGAAACTGTCTTTAGTCATTCCAAAGTAGATTATGAAATGCAAAATCAATTTAACTGTCATTAAAAATAAATAAATAAAAATAAATAGCTGTAGTCAGAATCCCTTTTGGAAAACATGGCTCATTGATATAAGTATTTGGATGTACTGAAAGTTGCCATGTTCTTAAAGTATAGATACTTACTATAGGGCTTTATAATAGGATAATGAGTCAGAAAATATTAATTGAACTTATTCTATTGAGCTCATGAACATTTTATTGGCATGTTGTTCAGACCACCATATAGTTGGATGGGCATCCCAGTGAGTTGTTCTATTAGTTTGCATGTCTGGGAAAGCATTGCTAATGGACAATAAGCTAGGTGGATCTAGATGTGAATCAGAGTAAGAGAGTGGGCAGGATCTCATTTGGAAACTAGGCAGTCTTTAGTGATCCCACCATGTTCCTTGCCACAAAATCCCACCTTTTTAATATCAATATTCTCCTGCTGATGCTGATTGGTAATTAATAATGAGATACCATGATCTTAAAGGGAATTGCAGGGTACCAAAGGGTTACAGAAAGATGTATGATAAGAGTATATAAGTAGGCTATAGCATATTTCCAAGAAGGATCATATAAAACATCTACACTGGTAGAGGTATTATTCACATTATTAATGAGATCAAGGATCCATTGAAGAAAATACTATATGTAAGGCCCTGCAATAACAGAATCAAAGCTCTAATCAAATACAATGAATTTGTAATGAAGGTGGCCCTGGGCATCCTCATATGTGTGTCATTTACATATGTATGACACAGTTTTCAAAACACTTCAAATTATTTCTGCCATCACTTTTATGAGCTGGCATGACATAGGTGACTGATAACCAACAGCTTCATTTGTCTTTCTAAATATTGGGTCACAAGCAACGTTTAAAAATGGAAAAAGAAAGTCTTAGATATCTGTTTACCTCAACAATGTTTCCTGAAGCAACTTCAGAGCCTTCCAAGACTCCGTCAGTTCCTTTAATTCCCCCTGGACAAGAGCTGCTCCCTCAAGAGATGATGTCTCCATTACCAGTTGGCCATGAGCTTCAATCAAGTGCAATTGTACCTCCTTATCAGGGAATTCAGCCACCAGCCTCTGAAAGATGAGTGGCTCAATGTCAAGATTTATAATTTACAATTAAGATACCTGCCAGTCGTTCATTAAATTGGGGATGGGAAGTGAGGGTTGATCTAGAACCAAATAACCTTTCCTCTTTAAGAGGATGGGCAATTTTAGCAGGGTATCTTTTCCATTGACTTAAGTTCTCTATTAAACATTCACTGATGGAATCAACTGATTAGATATAAGTGGTGAGGAAGACTGAAGAGATGATGATGATACCAAGGTTATGAACATGAGTGACAGGAAGGACAGGGTGCCTTTAAGAGAAATAGGAATGTTTGGAAGAGAGGTGGGTTGGACAAGATGATGAGTTCTGTTTTTGACATCTTGAGTTAAGTTGGAGATGTTCAAAAGGCAGTTAGTGATTATGAGAGCGGGCTCAAGCTCAGGGGACAGATGATAGATACATAGATTTGGAGTTATCTTCATTGAGATGATAATCAAACTCATGGAAATTTTCTACAATAAAACCAGGACAGAAAAAAAGAAGGCCAAGGACAGAGCCTTGAGAGTATATCTACACATGTTGAATTGGACATAGATGGTGATACAGCAAAAAGATAAGATCTGAGAAAAGGCCATCAGATTTAGCAGTTAAAAGATTATTAGTAACCTTGAAGAGAGTAGTTTCCATAAGTAATGGGAGTAGTGTGGTCAAGAGCCTCATCACAAAAAGTTGGGAAGTAACAAAGTAGAAATAAGTATAGATGACCTTTTCTGGGAGTTTGGCTATGAAAGGGAGAAGAGATATAGGATTATAACTTGAGGGGATGTCAGGGTCAAGTAAAAGATTTTTTAAAGTATGATGGAGATCTGAGAATGTCTGTATGTGGCAGGGAAAGAGCCAGAAAATAAGAAGAGACTGAATATCGGATAGAGGAAGAAGATATTTGAAAGGGCAAGTTCCTAGACAAGATGGGAAGGGATGGGGCCAAGGACATAAGTGAAGCAGTTGGAATGAAGAAGGGATACTTCTTCTTCTAAGAATGGAATGAAAAAAGCGCCTGATGGGAACAGTATGATATAATATATAAAGTAAATTTAGTGGGAGCAAGACTATGTAAACTTTAAATCAGTTCATCAGTCAGTAAACAAATTGTGATTGAACATGATGGAACACTATTGTGCTACTAATGTCTTATTCTTATGCTATTATGTAAAAAATAATTGATGTGATGAATTCAGAGAAGCATGAGAAGATACAGACTGACGCAAAATGTAGTGAGTAGAACTAGGAAGATAACATAAACAGTGACTACAACAATAGAAAAAAAAAAGAAAAACAAGATAATACAAGCTAAATGCTATGAAATCATAATGGCTAGGAGAGATAGAAATTTTCTCTCCCTCCCCTTCTTTGCAGAGGTAGTGGCAAATGTAGCACTGCATATGTCAGACTTGGTTGATGTGTCAGATAGTTTTGTGGAATTATTTTATTTGCTTTTTAAAAATTGTTTGTCATAATGGATATTCTGAGTTGGGGGGGATGACATAGAGTGGAGAATATGTTGGGAAACGTAGATGATATAAAAACAAAGCATATCAATAATTTTAAAAGAGTCCAGGAGGGGAAATAAACAGCCAATTTTGTTACTAACATTTTAAAATTAATCATTGGAGGGCAGGACAATAATTATGGAGTTTATGGTAATTGTGAACAATCACATTTTACTCTTATTTGGATATGTGAATGTTTTCACTGATGATTTTAGGATCTTAGATGTAGAGTTTGAAGGAACCTCAGAGACACCTAGTCTACACCCCTTCCCCCCCAGTTCTTCATGAGAGTTAACTGAGGACTAGGACAGTTAAGGGACTTTCCCCAGGTCATACAGATAGTGTCAGAAGAGGGATTTGAACCCAGGTCCTTTGACTCCAGATTGAGCATTCTTTCTACTGAAGAATAACATAAAATCTTCTGGCATAAAACACAAAATAAAGATACCTCACTTCTCTTTTCTGCCTCTGTAAACTGCATATAATGAAAAGAACAGTGAAATTAATCCCTGTTTTCCTAAATCTATGTCTTATCTCTGTTACAAATTCTGGTTCAGTCATTTTTCAATCATGTCTACTGTAACTCTGGCAATTCACTTAAATTTTCTGAATTTCCTCATCTCTAAAATGGGGATGATATTTTAAGTAGGGACTCTCTCAAATATGAAATGTGAGGACCGAATGAGACATAGTCGATGCAAAAAACTATTATAAACTCTGAAGTTCCAGAAACAGGGAAGAGATTTTTATTTTTTGATACATGAGGCAATAGCCAGGCTCCCCAAATGAGAATTGGACTTGAGAACCCAAAGGTCCTTCCCCCGCCCCCTCCTACAGCCTATGGTCCCATGATATACTTCAGAATATCAAAACTCACTGCTCAGGACTAAAGATATTGAGAACATAGATCAGTATGAATGAGTCCTAACCATTCATTTGTGGGGGGGGGGGGGCCTTGCTCATTTCAAATGAGTATCTTATAATCCTCATTTATTGTCATTTGCCTTTTTTCCCTCAAAGTGCAATAAAAATGTACTAGTCATTTTAGGGTACCAGGGAACTGGGTTCTGGGCTACAAAGGAGATGGATAGTACAGCAGGAAAAGTTCAGAGCAGGGAGACAAGGGAGTTATAGTCTAATCCTGGCTATATTACTAGCTCACTAGCTAACCCTTGGACAGCTCACTTTTCTTTCTGCACCAACATTTCCACACCTGCAAAATGAAAAGGGCGACTAGATTATTTCCCAGCTTCCTTCCAGTCCTGTAAGTTCATAATACTAAGGTTCTATTGTAATAGACTTCTCTTCTACTGAAGAGATGAAAGAGGACATGGAGAAGCAGCCAAAAGGAATAGAATAGAAGCAACGTGAGCAAAGGGAGTAATAACACCTTTGTGGTGGTTTGTAAGGCAGGGGAGGGCAGGGTGGGACCACCAAAGACCCTGAAGATAAAAGCAGGTGAAATATCTCTGGTACTGATGCTGTCAAGTTAGAAAAATTTTGGAGGTATTCCTTTGTCCCATCACAATATCCATTTGCTGACTTTAAGAGAGATTCTTACTAGAATAGAAAACTCTTCCAAAACAGAAAATGTCCTCTGGATCATTTTCTGCTTCCCTGAGAGGATTGGATCAGAAAAACTCTAAGGAGTTTTTTGGTACTGTTTCATGTTCTATTGTTCCATCCTCAAGTCTCTTTCAGCTCTAATACTGTGTGCTTGACAATCCTTTCCTGCTGTAATGTATTACATTCTATATTCTAACATTACATGTTGTAAGATTCTTTCTAAGCCTAATGCTCTAGGTTTAATTTTCCTTTCCAGAACTAATATTCCCCGAATCTATGGTCTCATGTTTCATGTTCTACATTTCTTTTCACTCCAACATTCTATGATTCCACCTCCTTCAAAGAGAAGCATATTGCTTTAGCTGGTCAGAAGACAAGCAATTTCATTTAGAAAGAGAAAATTGGGGTGTTAATTTACATTATGAACACAAATCAAAATTTAGTTCTACTCATCCACCTGTGAAATCTTAGGCTGATCATCCCTCAGTTACTCCAACCACAGAATTACGTTATTAAAATCTAGTTCAAAATCCAAAGAAGCCATTAGGTGAACAGAAGTGGCTCCCACTTGATACTTTACCTAAATCAAGATTTAGCTCACTTGCTCCCAGAACTGCTGTTTTTTTTTTTCAAAACTACATTTTAATCCTCTGCAGCTTGGCTTTCCAGTAAGCGAAATCTCATTCCTAAGGAGGAAGTCTACTTACCTCAATATCTTCTATGGATTGGCCATCTACTTTCCACTCGTCTTCATTCCCTTGGTAGGATTCCAGTTTTTGTTTGGTCATCCCAATCCACTGCTGGAGCTCCCACAGTTTGTGGTTGAATGTCCAGTGCTCCCGAACATCCTGCTGGCTTTGTTCCATAGTTATCTACAAAACCAGGAGGGCACCTAGTATATTAGCACCAACTTGGACAAACAGCTATTTATTAATATTAAGAGGTAATAAAGAGAACAGAAGAAAGATATCCTAGCTCTGCTTCCTAATTCACTCTGTGACTGAGGCAGCTAGGTGCCACAGTGGATAAAACACTAGGCCTGGAGTGAGAATGACCTACATTTAAATCCAGCCTCTCACACTTAACATCTGTGTGCCTCAGTTTCCTTAACTCTAAAATGGGGGTCATAATAGTACCTCTCTCACAGGGTTGTGTTGTGAGGATCAAATGAGATAATTATATATTTTAAGTACTTAGCACAGTACCTGACATAATTGGCAGTTAATAAATACCTGTCTCTTCTCCTCCCTTTCCCTCTCCTCTCCCTTCACCTTCCCCTTTCTTCTCTTCCCTTTTTCTTGACTACTGGCTTAGTTTCCAAATCTATAAAATGAGCAGGTTACCAGAAGAACCCTAAGGTCTTTTACAGCTTTGATATTCTATGAAACTCACCTTTTTATGGCATTATACTAAACTGATTTCTGGTTACTTTATGTCTCATATACCCATAACAAAATCAATTCAATTTAATAAGGACTTACTTAGTGTCAACTACATGAAAGGCACAAAGGCATCTGGTCACCTCTTATCTAGATGTAAATACGAGATGAGTCCTTCCTTCAGTCCCATCTCTGTCTACTGAAATCTCTCCCTCAAGGCCCAGTTCAGGTGCTATCTTCTTTATGTATGTATGTAGTGTGGGCTCTTCCTGGGAGACAGCCTTCTTAAAATATCTCATAACACTTTGAATTTTGGCCCTCTCTTTGGTATAAAAGTTATTTGTCACATAAATATGCATGTGCTTATACAAATCTTTCTTATCTTTGAATCTCCTGTAGCGCCAGGGCCTTCCACATAGTAGATGCTTAATGAATGCTTGCTGAATTGAAGAGTTTATAATATATTCAATTGTACTTATTTTTTCTCAAATTTCTCACGTTACTAAATAACAATGATAACATTTCTATAGTACTTTAAGGGTCATAAAGCATTTTTTTCACAATAATCCTGTGACATGTCTCCTGTATCATTCAACTAATAAAATCAATCCTATCCTTATTAAGCATTTGCTACGTGCCACCCACTGCTAAATGAAGAGTACACTAACCCAATGAATGAAACAATTCCTACGTGAAAGTAATCTGGAAATGTGTTAAGCACCTACTCTGTGGCCAGCAACTGTGATAAGTTCCATGAGGGCTGGAATCCTGTCTTTTCTTTCCTTTGTATCTCTCCATGGAATCTAGGGCAATGAGTCTATAACAGATGGACCCAGCCAGTAAATACAGAGTGACTAGTAATACCAAAGGCATGGATTCATGACAGGCAACATGATATAATGGAAACAGCACAAGATTTAGCATCAGGAGATGTGGGATCAAAGCTCAGATCTGCCATACTCTCAGCTCTTAGATGAAGAGACATTTCACTTCCTGAGCCTCAATTTCTTCTTTCATAAAGTAAGGATAATACAGTTTCACCAACTATCTTCACTGTTAATTTCCTCACAGGAGAAAAGCCCACTGTAAACTATAAAGTGCTATAGAAGTATGAGTTATAGTTATTTTTTGTTATTATTATTATTCAGTCTCAGCTTGGGTTAATTAAGAGAGAACATGCTTGGTGATTTAGAGTTTGAAGGAATCTGAGAAGGTAAGAATGTTGAAGCTACAGAAGAAATTTTAGAACTGAGAAAACACCTCTTCTGGTCTTTGTTTCCTCACCATAAAATGGACTAGATGAAATAACTTGCACAAAGACACACACTTTGTTCTACTTTATAGTTTCAACCCCAAATTCTGAGATGTGACTAAGCACAAGAAGAAATTAGTAAGAGAGTAGGGATAATCACTAAAAATTCATCCCACTACTGGTTTTTTAAATGTGTTTTAAAGTTAAAAATTTCCAATTAACAATCATTTGTTTTCTTTCCTTCTCACTTCTCCCTCTACAATGGAAAAAAAGAGAAAAGCAAAATTATTTAACAATGTCCATAGTCAAGCAAAACAAATTCCCACATCGGCCATGTCCAAAAAAACAAATGTCTCATTCAACACAGAGTACATACCCTTTCTGTTGGGTAATGGGTAACATCCTTCATCATTGGTTTGCCAAAACAATATTGGATTTGAAGTCATAAGACTCAATTCTGTAACTTATTAGCTATGTGACCTTGGGTTGAGAGCAAGGCCTGTCTTTTATTTTTCTTTATATCCCTGGTGCTTAGTACAGTGACTTGAACATAAATAGGCACTTAATAAATATTTATTGACTGATTTTACCTCTGTAAGCCTCAGTTTTCTCATCTGTAAAATCAGGATAATAACACACTACCTCACAGAGTTATTATGAGGATTCAATAAGATAATACATGTGCAAGCATTTTGCAAAATATAAAGTATGTGTATGTTGCTACTTTTGCTAATATTTGATAACTTACCTCCAGGGACCTCTTCAGGGTCTGATAATCAGATGAAAGTTGGCTGATTTTATGCTGGTGTCTGGGATTTGCCTGAACTAGGGGCTTCAGGTTTTCAATCTTAATTTCAAGCTCTTGCAAGTCTTCCTGGATCCGCTACAATGGAAAGAAGGAGAGAGAGTCCATCTGTTTAGCAGAATCAACATGTGGAAGAAATTGGGGTAAGGATTGGAGTAGCTTATCTGAAGGGGGGACTTCAGGGCACTTGGGTAGTGCAGTGGATAGAGTACCAGCCCTGGAGATCAGGAGGACCTGAGTTCAAATCAGACCTCAGACACATGACACTTATTAGCTGTGTGATTCTGGGCAAGTCACTTAACCCCAATTGCCTCTCCAATAAAATAAAAATAAAAAGTAAAAAAAAATGAAGGGGGGACTTGCAAAGACAGTAATACTCTAAAGTATGAGAAATGTTCTATTTTTGGCATTCAGAACATGGAGGAAGTTTTGAGGGAAGGGGACCAAAAATATCTGGAAAGGCTAGAAAGGTGAGCCAGATGTAATAAGACGAAACTGAATAGGGATAAAAGTAAAGTCTTGACTTTGGATTGAAAGAATCACCTGTATAAATGTAGAATGAAGGAGAAGAACTAGGGCATGAACAAGAATCAATGGGATGAGAAGGCATGGATGGGCTGTCATCTAAACCACATTTAAAAAGCCATCAAATCCTTAAAGAATTTTAATTTAAGCTCTTGACTCAAGACTTTAGGATCTCAGGTGGCATTAACAAAAGCTGAATGATCAGGACAAGGGAGGTTATAATTCTAGGTTACATTCTCCAAAGTAGTCAAACCAAACCTGCAGTACTGTGGGGAAAACGGTATTAGGAATTCAATGGTCAAAAACTTTATTGGTTACACACTAAAAAAAAAAAAAAAGATAGGAACCTAATAAAAATTTCATACATGTTAAATGGTTATAAAATACATAAATGCTACAATAAATTGTGACCATATTTGTGGTCTTAGATTGCTGCTTAACCTGTGCCCAGGGTCCAGAAAAAAAATGGATAACCAGTTATGGTTATCACACATTAGGAAAGATTGATAAACTGAAGTGTGTCCAGACCAGGATGTAAGAAGAAAGAAAACGAGTATTTTTTAAGCACCTACTACATTCCAGGTACAGTTAAGCAATTTATAAAAATCTCATTTGATTCTCACAACTCTGGGAGGTAGGGACTATTATCCCCATTTTATAGTTAAGGAAACTGAGTCAGACAGAGGTTAAGTGACTTGTTCGGAGTCACACAACTAGTAGGTATCTGAGGTGAGATTTGGACTCAGATCTCCTTGACTCCAGGCCCAGAGCTCTATTCATTATGCCACCCATCTCGTCACAGAAAATCGGCTGAAGGAACTAGACAATGTCAGCCTGGAAAAGGAGAACATGATAGGAGGAGGACATTAAGTATTTGAAGGACTAGAATGAAGAAGAAGAATTAGATTTATTCTGTTCCTAGAGGGTAGAACTAGAACCAATGTGTGGAAGTTACAAGGAGGGAGATGTGATTCGGGAAAATTTTCTAACAATGAGAGCCATCTAAAAGTGGCATGGTCTGTCTCCTAAGGTAGCGAGCTCTCAAATAGTAGAAATCTTCAACTAGAGACTGGATAATGACCTTTGGGGCACAGTGCAAAGGTGAGTTGTATTGAGGTATGGTCCTCTGGACAGGTTGGAATATCTGACCCATAAAGTCCCTCCCAGCTTTGTGAATCTAGAAACATCTAGAAACAAAACTTCCTCAAAGAATGAGAGACAGCTTGGGGGATAATTGAGTCTCAGGAAATATGCTTGATGTAAATATCTGTGGTGAAAAATCATATCTATAATGTCAAGTGATTGAGAAAACCCACAAATACCTTATGTTCACTTTTTTACATAGAGACTAACAACTTAGTTTCTATGTAAAATCTACTTGTTTCTGAACTAACAACAATAACCTTAATTATGGCACAGCCTTCGTTCTTCAACCAGAAAATTCTTTCTAAATTAGCAATTGCTGTGCTGGGCCTGTTCTGACATGTTCTTAATTTATTTTCTGTTTATTTAAAATGAAGGTCATGGCCCTTCCTTATTAGGAGAGCTTAACATACTTAAAATATACTTTTATTATTGGGATTTTAAAGGCCCATAGAAATTATCCACTGGAGAAAAAAAAAAGAACAAAAACAAAATGAATCTTGTTGCTCATATTAATAGTATTTTTGTGAAACTAAGAAAGGTGACATGGACAAATGGGCACATTTTTGAGTTAGGAAAATCTGGGTTTCTTCTCTTACCTCTGACTCATACTAGTCATGTGACCCTGAGCAACTCACAACCTCTCAATGTTCCAGGTAATTCTCTTAAGGCTAAATTAGACAATTGCTGATTTGCATGGGTGGAAGGAATTTTCACCCCTAGAGTTCTCTCTATATAAAACTAAGGTTTTTATCCCCTCAAAAAAGTTTCTTTTTTTTTTTTTTTAAAGAACCTCAGTGGAGACAAAGAAGAAAAAAAACTTAGGGGGAAATATGGTAGCTGTGTTCAAGTATTTGAAAGGCTGTTGAGTGGAAGGCAGAGCAGACTTGTTTGATTAGCCTTAGAGGGCAGAACTAGGAACAATTGGTGGAAATTAAAAACAGGAAAATTTATGTTGGATGTCAGGAAAAAACTTCTCAACAATCAGAGTTTATCCCAAAACGTAATGTGCATGGGTGCAGAGGGGGTGCATTCCCCATGCATTTGAGGTCTTCAAGCAAAGTCTAGATGAGTGGGGATTCCTTTGGGTATGAATGAGACTAGATCCCCACTGAACTACCTTCAAAGATGAAAAATTGCGTGACAACAGGCATCAGCTAAATAAAACCATTCAGTTGGAGAACGAAGGCATTAACCACAGTTTGGATGGATGACTGAAGCCTCTCCTTCAGAGCTAACCTAGTGATTTACTAACTGTCACTGGGTCCCTGGCTGAGACATATGCCTACATTATCCCACTTACCTGCAAGCGCTGGAGCTGGGCCTGCTTACTAGGGAGGTCTTGCTGAAACACCTTCTCTGCTTCTGCCCTGATGTGGAGATCTGCTAACCTCTTCTGCAGTGGTTCAAACGCAGTATCAAAGTCATTGTGCTGAGATATTGCACTCTAGAGAGACAGTGACACACATCATGAAAATCAAGCCATTTCTTCATCTGGACTCTTTAACAAGACCCATGTCATGTCCAATACAAAAAAGGAAGGGCACTACTTGCTTAAATATTTGAAGTACTGTCATGGGGAAAAGGAAAAACATCTGTTCTGTGCGGTTCTCTTTTAGGTATTATGCTTATTTTTGTGTATATTAAGTTTCCCTTGGTAGTATATAAGCTCCTTGAGGGCAGTGACTATGTTTTTTCGCTCTTTAATCTCTGTATCCCCAGTGTCTAGAACAGTGCCTTGTACAAAGTAGGTATCTAATAAGGGAAGTAGATTTAGCTCGCAATTAAAGTTGGCAAGCAATAGAACGGACTGCCTTTGTCACTGGAAGCTCACAATAACAATCAGCCATTAAACATTTATTAAACACCCTCTATGTGCCAGGCACTGTGCTAATTGTCAGTAATGCAAAGAAAGGCAAAGGACAGCTCCTGCTTTCAAGGAAGTCACAGTGTAATGTGAGAGACAACGTGCAAACAACTATGTACAAACAAGCTACAAGATAAACTGAAAATAATTAACTGAGAAAAGGCACTAAAATTAAGAGGAACTGGGAAAGGCTTCCTGTAGAAGGTGAGATTTCAGCTGGGACTTGAAGGAAGGCAGAAGCAGAAAGGAGGGAGAGCATTGTAAGTGAAAATTATTTAGAGCTAAAAGGGCTTTAGAGAAATAGTAGAGGCGAGGCCTGTCAGAGATACTTAAGAAAGGATATTCTTGCAGAAGGAAGGGGTTGGAGCAGATGACTTCTAAGTTTCTGTCAGATTCTGAGTTTCTCTGACTTCTTGGTTCATTGTGTCCTTGAATTTGCACCACAACCAAGGAATTTATCGCTGGACAGGAACCGAGTCCTTGGTGGGAAGTGATACTCACTTGCATTTTGCTGTTTCTTTGCAAGAGATTGTTATGCAGCAGGTCTCTCTCCCTGATAGTGCTGGCCACCTGTTCGAGGAAAGACTGTGCCTTTTCTTCACCAAAGATGCTGATCAGCAAATCCTTCTTCAGGTTTAACATGATCAGTTGTTCCTTCAGGCGTGAGCTTTCAGCCAATGCTGCCTAAAGAACAAATATCTGATTAACCATTACATAATTTAAGGGTACAAAAAATTTTTAAAAAGAAATCTGTTCATAATTATTCAGGTCACTGAGGAACCAGTTAATGTAAGTTTCCAGAAGCACAGAGATCTCACACAGAAATTGAAGCTTGGTGTAGTAAGAAGTTGGATATTCATGGCTTTCAAAAAACCCTCAACATTATTTTGATATGATTTTTCACACCAGATTTTTATACCAAACATATTTCTTGGAGACCAGTTGTTACCCAAGTGGCTTTCTCTTTTTTTCTGGAATGTCTGGTTTTTGTTTTTATTTTCCTCCTAGATGTAACAGAATCCTTTAAAGAAGCACTATCCTAATGTGATTCTGAGCTCAGGCCTGGGTCATCAGCTTAAGACTCCTCATTGGTGGAGAGGAGGATGACTCTGCACGGATGAGCTCTCCCTCAAGGAGTGAGATAGCTCAGCTCACCTAACAGAAAAGAAGGCCTCAGCCTCACCCAAGGGAAAGTTCCCTGAAATCTCAAGGGAGAAAACCTAGAAATCAGGGTTATGTTGAGGCACTGGATCCTCTACCTTATAGATGTCAAACACTCAGCCCCACATGGCCTGCAGGCCTTATGTTCCTGAGTGAAGCCCAAAGCAGATTAAAATTTGGAAATATTTAGCAAAATAATTAAAAACACAATAGAACATAGATAATGCTAATATGTGGTTTTTAAGTGATTTTGCAGAGATAGACGGTTTGAATTTGACATCACTGTCTGCCTCTAAAACTTCATCTGTGTGGTTACTCCTTCCACCAACACAGAGAGCAACCCCAACCAACCTTAGTACATGGCTTTATAAGTTGCTGTGACCAAATAATCTAGTGCCTTCTGAAACTTATCTTGTTTGCTCCTTGTACAACAGATACACAGTCTGTATTCCCAGTCCCTCGCGCAGTTCCTAACAAACAGTAGGAGCTTAATGACTGTTGACTGCTTGTTCTGATCAGTATCCAAACCTTTCCCAGATGGGCAGAACTAGCCAGGGTTCACAGTTAGTGACCCACAGTCACCTATACATCGTGGTCAGATATTAGAGGAGTAGCTGTGGACTCTAGGGATTTGGAGAAGGAGGAAATTAGTGTAGTCAAGGAATTTTTCATGGAGGAGGTGGAATTTGGGACAGGAATTGAGTGCAACACAGAAAGTACAACAATCATGTTAGGTCCAGCCCTCATCATACCCGGAACTGCAAAAACCATCTGATCCAGTACATTTCTCTTTATTTCTGTGCCAAGTCTTCTGCCTCCAAATCCAGCCCCCTTTCTACTACACCATATTGCCTTTACCTCCCTCTGTACTTTCCCAGCCCCATGCCTCTACTCACAGTGTTACTTAAGCCTGGGATGCCATCCTTCTCTGTATTCCTTATGCTCATATCCTTTAAACTCCCGCTCAAATGTCACATTCATATCGAAGCCTTCTCTGTCTTTCCTGGGCACAGTTCTCCTTTCTCTCACATTTCTAATCATGTACCCACTTTGCATCTCTCTTATTTATTAGGTAATTTATTAGTATCTATATATCATATTCTCTTTCTAGACTGAAAGTTGAATGAGGCCAGGGACCTGTCTCACCTAAGTTTAGTTGGTTAGTTTGCATCTCCTCCAGCACTGACCAAAGCATATACTCTGTATTCAGGAGGTGCTGAATAAAACTGTGGAATTGAAGAGCTAGCACTTAATAAATACATTCTAATGTGGTTGCCCTGACAACATACAACCTAACTGTTGAAACCCGAACTCACATAAAAATTAAACTTCCTCCTACAGTGAACGTAGCTTAGTGAAAAACTGACGTTTAGAAGTGTCTCTATATTAGATAGCTAAGTGGTAAAATGGATAGAGTGCTGGGACTGGAGTCAGGAAGATCTAAGTTCAAATCTAGCCTCAGACATTTACTAATTTGTGTGATCCTGGGCAAGTTACTTAACCTCTGTCTGCCTTCTCAACTGTAAAACAGGAATAATAGCACTTACCTCCCAGGGTCATTTGGAAGATCAAATGAGATAATATTTGTACAAAGCGCTTAGCATGGTGCTTGGACCACAGTAGGCACTTAATAAATGCATTTTCCCCTCATCTTTCCCCTTCCACTCCTTCTCTCTTGTTGCCTGCCCTTAGGTGTAATTCTCCAAGGGGCTAGCTCAACCTTTGGGTTCTAATTCTATGAATCTTTTGGCCCTCTTAGACGTACAAGGTGGTCTTCAGCAAGGAATTGATGCATTCAACTGTGGTCTGTTTGGCTTTAGAACATATATTTACCCCTAGGATTCATGGAAGAGTTTTATCCAATTAGCAAATCATGTGCAAACATTTATAAAACAAATGATTATTCTTTCTACTTGAAATCTGGATTAATGAAAATTATTTTCCTTGAAGATTTAGTCATCGCTTCAAGCTAACACTTTAAAGATAGCATCTCTTACTTTAGACTTGATGAAAAAACACATACCTAGAGAATGTCAGAGCTTGGAGGGACCTTAAAATTATAGAATATGAGAGCTGGAAGAGATTTTAAAGATTATCCTCCTCATAATAAATTATGCATACTTATAAAGTAGTTTAAAATTTGCAAAACACTTCATATACATTATATCTCATTTGAGCCTCAGAAAGATCCTGTGAAGTGGTACTACACTTATCTCCTTTTCCAAAGTAGGCAGCTGGTTACCAGAAGTGAGAGACATCATAGAATCAGTAAAAGTTGAAAGGGACTTTAGAGATTACCTAGTCTAATCACCTTCTTTTGCAGCTGGTGAAACTGAGGCTTAGAGAAGGGAAATGATTGACCCAAAGTCTGAAGCCCACATTATTTCCCTCTGCGATTACATTAGTGGATGATAATTACTCCAGTTTATTGTACCACCCAGATAGCATGTGGATTTTGACAGAGGTTGTCAGTGTCACAATTCAAACAATGATGAGGTGGGTAATGCAAGCATTATTATTTTGAGGGGAGGGGGATCACAGAATTATACAACTGCAGTTGTAGAAAAGCCTTTAGAGGTCATCTAGTATAATCTATATTTTGGGTGAGGTGGAAGGAAAGACATAAGTATTTATTATGCACTCACTGTGTGCCAAACACTATGATAAGTGATTTATAAATACTGTCTTGTTCAATCCTCACAACAACTCTGGGAGGAAGGTGCTGTTATTATCCCATTTTTACAGTTGAGAAAACTGAAAACTGAAGCAAACTGAGGTTAAGTACCTTACCCGGGGCCACACACCTGTAAGTGTCTGAGGTGGGATTTGAACTCAGGTCTTCCCTGATTCCAGGCCCAGGGGTCTATCCAGTGTACCACCTAGCTGCCTCTGTGGGTCTCTGTGCTCTCCAAATCATACAAACTTAGATAGCCATCTATTATGCCTATGTCCAAGATGATAGCAAGAAGCACTTTATTTATTAGGAGTGAAAAACTGCTTCTCTGCCACTCTCAGTGAGCTGCTTCATGTATATTTCCTTCCAGCACAAACTAAAGGAGGGGGCAGCTAGGTGGTGCGGTGGATAAAGCACCAGCCCTGGAGTTAAGAGGACCTGAGTTCAAACCCATCCTCAAACACATAACACTCACTAGCTGCGTGACTCTGGGCAAGTCACTTAACCCCAACTGCCTCACCAAAAAGCAAACGAAAACAAAAAGCAAACAAACAAAACAACTAAAGGAACCCAATCTAGTCTTCCTCTCATGATACCATCCCATTTACCTCAATCTGTGGCAAAAAGGTATGTATTGATGCGAGATCAGGGAGGCTGTCGGTGACAGCCAAGAGTTTCTGGGCCAATGCCTTCCACAGCTGGAACTCTTGAATTGGGTGCTGAAAGTACTGCCACAGGTCTGTGCCAGAACGGTTTCTCAGTTTAGAAGAATTTTCTTTAACCCTGTAAGGATCAAAAGAAAATACAGAAGACTGTTTGAGCAGGATGGCCTCATTCACATAGCACTGCTTGGGGTTGTTAAGGAGATAGGGATATTGATTAGGATGAAAATCCCCCAGCATTCTCCTCCTGGACCCCACGAAAGTGTGCCCTGGTCTGATAAGACCAGACTTTGACTGACAATTTAACTTCCCCTATTCTAAGGGAGGGTGGGGGCGGCTGAAGCTATGGGAAGGGTGGGGTTCAGGAGCAAATGTGCAACCTAAGAGTAAGAATGCAAGTCCTAGGGCAAACAAGGAAGGGCAGCCTTTGAGACTAGCAACTATGTAAGGGGACTGAAATGACTCCCTTAGAGAACTGTGTGGGGAGAGCAGTGGGCAGGAGACCCTGAGCTGGACTCTCTGATAGGGGTTGCATGACCAAGCTATGCAAAAACAATACAAAGCTGGGTTCCTGGAACCCTCTGGGCTGCTGAGAGCAGAGCTGGTGATTTCTTAGCCCCTTTCTTGTCTTTCTGGGAGAGCATGTTTTCCAAATCTCCATTTCCTAAGAATTTATTTACTTTCCCTGTTTACTTCCATCTTATAAGTATGATAAACATGGCAAACCTCTGCATTGCTAATTTACATGTGTTTGTTTACCAGTGGTGGCATAGAGAGACAGCAGTTGGGGAGCACACAGGAGGAGAGACTTTATAGTTGTGGTATATATATATATATATATTATACCTGAGAAATTCTCTAGCTTTGGGTTTGGGCTACAGAGAGATAACCATTGATTCACTTTTTTAAAACAACTTCCCAAGATAGATGCAGAAACTTACACCCAGATCTTTCTGGGAAAATGGTCAGCTATTTTTGTCTGGGGGAGATTATGATGAGCTGTCTGGCCTTGGGAAGTGGGGCCTTGGCCGGTTCACTTCTCTTTGCTTTTCCAAGGTTGATTTGAAAAGAAGCCAGAGGGAAGGAGCCAAGAGAGTGATTGAGAATGAGTAGTACTGCCCCCCATCCCCGTCAAGGGTAAGGGGAAGTATGAGGGAGTGATGATCCTACTTATTCAGCATAGCCTAGAGCTCACTGTCCTCACTACTGCTAAATTAATTTTCACCAGAAGGACAGTCAGATAACATTCTCTATGAGTGACTTCTGCACTCCCCACAAAGCAGGAAGCCAATTCTCTTCCTTCCAAGCTGGAGGCCAATTCTGCACGTTCAGAATGTGCTATCAGTAAGCTACTCCAAGGTCTGATGGTTGACCTTAACTCCCCGAAAATGCCTTATGTCCCAAAGTCTGATGTTTGTGTCGTTCAGTGGTAAGCTCCAAATTGCCCACTGGGAGTAAGGCCAAAGACAAAGCTGAATGGCTCGCCTAAGTCATGTAACTCAGCACCACCTGCTGTATATATATCAGCACTTGAAATCTGAGGAGGTCAATGAACATAAGGCAGTTTTGAAAAATAATGCAGGTGTCTGCCATTTTTCAAAACAAAAACAAGCAAGAGCACTCTTAATAGAAATGCTGGAGGCAAGCCAAGACATGTTGTAAGGACTTTTCAGACACAGTACTGGTGACATTCAACCTGAAATGCTTTTAATTACAACTTCATGCCTTTATAAAAACTGCAGAAAGTAGATTAAAAAAAAAAGGTCACATAGGTTGTAGCTCTATTTACTGTAAATGGATGGATGTATAGATAGATGGATGGAGTAAGACAGGGGCATAGAAAGAGACACACAGGAAAACAAAGACAGAGATGAGAAGACATTTATTAAGTACTTACAGTATGTCAGCTACTGTGCCAAAAATAAAGATTCCAGAATAGAAACCCTAGTATTCCCTGACAACATGCAAGGGGTCCATGGACCAAATTTCTTAGGAGAAGGAAATGAGAAAAGGAAATGAAGCTTCTTACAGTATGGGAGGCAACAGGCTTAGGAGAATTATACTCCCTTTGTGTGAACCAAAGCAGACCCTGAGTAGGAGAATTCACAAAGGCAGAAAGGAAGGAAGGAGAGGCTCTCAAACTACTTTGAATACCTGAAAGCCACAACTTATTGTTTAACTCACAGGGGCTCATCAATGATACTTGGTACCCTCAAACTTCCCAACCATGAAATCAGGAACAATATACTGGTTACTGAAAGGCAGAATGACACAAAGAAAGATCTTGATTAAGTACAGGGTAGTGAGGGGGTGGGGATATAATCTTGATGGCCAGTTCAGATGACACAGATTTCCACGAGGGACCATCAGGGATGTAACCAATAACTTCTTCACCTCATACTAGGGAACTCCATTCATAATGATACTCAAACACCTTAGTTTCCTGGTTCCTCAGTTCACTAATTTTCCATAACCTATTCCTCACTTACACACAGAGTTGGTCATACCCTTGATCTTGAACCCATTTCCATCTTTATGAACTCTGAAATTCCTTCATTTGATCAGAATTTTTTGTTATTCCATTTCTCCTCTCTACTTTAAAACGCCGAAACCTGTTCTTCATGCTCACTATGACTTCCAATCCCTCTACCCCGGGTCCTTTCACAAGCCATCTCTCCTGCACTGGATGCAGCTTCCTATCTTCCCTATCCTGATTCCTTGATGAGACAGTTGAACTCCACTGCCTCCTAATCATACCACCAGTCATACCTTGCCAAGTGCCACCTTGGACCACTTCTACCATCTACTGCCTTCATTTCTATTCCTGTGCTGTTGAATGGAACTGGAGAAAGTCATAAAACTGTGCTGACTGGGCCCACTACAAATTTATGTTACATGATCTCAACTGAGCCCTCACTGCAGCAAGGCAACCTTTCATACATCACTAATTGAGTCACATCCCAGTCACCAAAATGATTTTGCCAAGCCTTTTTATCCCTCTGACCTCCCATTGCATGCCCTTTCCCCCATCATCTTAGCAGAATGCCTTGCCTCTTACTTCACTGAAAAAATTTAAGGTCATTCACTGAGACCTCCCTCTTATTCCTTCCTCTTTATGTCACATCACTCAGGTGTCTTCTCCTGCTATAACCTCTGTCTCAAATTAAGAGGTGTCCCTCCTCCTTACCAAGGCTAGCTAGCCCATCTCTTGGCCTGCACCATTGATTCAATTCCATCCCGCTTTCACTAGTAGATTTCTCCCTCAATCTCCCCTACTGTCTCATTAATCTTCAATTGCTTCCTCTCTATTGGCTACATCCCTGCAGCCTACAAACACTCTTATGTCTCCCCCTTTGTTAAAAAAAAAAATCCTCACTTTATCCATCCATCCTTACGAGTTATTATTTTATGTCTCTCCTCCCTTTCAAGGCCTTCAGAAATCTGACTCTAAGTGGTACCTTCACTTCCTCTCTCCTTACTCTATTCCACACTCTACAGTTTGGCTTCTACCTCCAACATTCAAATGAAATTGCTTTTTCCAAAGTCACCAATGATCTCACACTTGTCAAACCTGATCTTTTCTCAACCCTTATCATTCTTGACCTCTCCGCAGCCTTCAGCACTGTCAATCAACCTCTTTTCTTTGATAGTTTCTTCTCCGTAGGTTTCCTTGACACTGCTTTGTCTTGCTTCTCTTTCTAACATCCTGGTCCTTCTTTCATCCAGGTCATGCCGCTAACTATGAATGTCACCCAAGGCTCTTTCCTAGGTCCTTTTCTCTTTTCACTCTCTAGCTTGGTGATTTCATCAGTGAATCCATGGATTAATTGATCATCTCTATACTGCTAATTCAATCAATTTATCCAGTCCTAACTTTACTCCTGATCTTTAGTCTCACATCTCTAAATGGATGTGACATCTTAGCAGGTTAAAAGGAACTCATTATCTTTCCCCCAAAACCTTCTTTTCTGAACATCTCTGTTACCGTGAAGGGAACCACCATCCTCCTAGTTATTTAGGCTCACAACATAAGTGTCTTCCATGACTCCTCACTTTTTCATTTCCCCATGTTCAATCTGTTGTCAAGGCCTGCCAGTTTTACTTTTGCAACACCTTACGCACATCCCCTTGTCTCTGCCACCACCTTGGTGAAGACACTTATCACCTCGCACCTGGACTATCGCAAGTCTCTGGCTGTCCTCCTTGTCTCAAGTCTCTCCCCACTCCAGTCTGTCCTTCACTCAGCTGTCAAATTCATCTTCCCAAAGTGTAGGTGTGAACATGCCATGTCCCTGTTTGATTATTCCAATAACTCTCTACTACTTCCAGAATCAAATAAATCCTCTTTGGGACTTTAAAGACCTTGACAATCTAGTCTCTTCCTACCTTTCCATTCTTACTCTATGCTCCAGTAACACTGGCCTCCTGTTGTTCCTTGTATACTCTTATCTCCCAACTCCATACCTTTGTCCTGGTGGTCCCCCATGCCTGGCATTCTCTCCCTCTTTACCCCTACCTTTGGTTTCCTTCACTTCCTTTAAGACTTATCTCAAGCACCACCTTCTACAGTAGGTTTTTCCCAGTTTCCTCAATGACTTGAGCCTTACTCTCTAAGTTTACCTTGCTTCTACTCTATATATATGCACCTCTGGGCTTGCGCCTATTTATTGGTATGTCACCTCTCAAATAGTATATAAGCTCCATGAGGAAAGAGGATATTTTTGTGTTTTTGCCTTTCTTTTTACTCCCAACACTTACATCGACAGCCTGGTACATACTAAGCACTTAACAAATATTTGGTGATTGATAGACACATTGATAATAGCTCATACTTCTAGCACCTTAAGGTTTATAAATTTCTTTCTTCACAACAACCCTATGAGGTAGGTAATGTAAGTATTATCATCCTTATTTTACAAATGAGGAAACTCAGGGTCAGAGATGTAAAGTACAATTCCCATTTATTTAATGGTTGAGGAAATTAAAGGTCAGAATATGTAAGCAACTGGCCCATGGTTACTAGCTAGGATAAGAGCCAGAATTGAAAACTAGGTCTGCTGAATTTAAGCCAGGACCTTTCCACTACATAAAAGCGCCTCTGCCTGCTCTTTGTCAGAACCT